ATGCTGTGCTGAGCCCCAACCATACAGTTATTTTCATGGCTACTTCATAACTGAAACTTTGCTACTGTTGTGAATTGCAATGTAAATATCTGTGTCTTGCAGTGGTCTTAGGGGACCCCCGGGAAAAGGCTGTTTTGACCTCCAAAGGAGTCACAACCCACAGGTTGAGAAACGCTGCTCTAAGGAAATGTACGTATAAGGGGTCGGGGTGGAGGGTGCCATGAAATCTTAGGCCTCAGAGATATCTCTCCATCTTCAGTTATGACTTCTATAAACCAAAAAGAAAAAGAAAGAAAGAAAGATAAAACCACAACCGCCAGTGCTCACTGAGTGCTATTTGCCAGGCATTGTCCCCAGCACCTGGCATAGGACACCTGGAAATCATCCCAAAGGCTCCCACCCCCGAGCCACTCACCAGCCTCCCACTGTACTTTCCCAAGGCCCCTCAAAGACGTCTGTCAGCAGCATTATGTAATTCTGACTTGCACAGGTTCTGCCTCGCCCACTAATCTCATCGCTGTGCAGGGACTGCGTGCTGAGAGCTGACTTTCTGCCCCCCCCCACCCTGTGCGCCTGGCCCGGGGCCACGCCTAAAGGGAATGCATAAATACTGTACAGAGCTGCTGCGAATGACAGAGAGGAGACTCCCCTTCCCTCCGCATCCTAGCAAATTCTGTAAAGGACAAAAGTCACTTCCCACTGGCCAACACACACACACACACACACACACACACACACACACACTTAACCACTTAAGATCTGCACAGCCAATATCCTTCTGGGTCCTGTCCCCACCCCACTTCCGTCATCCCTCCCTGCACATATAAATAACCAAAATCATGGGGGTGTCCATTGCCTTTCCCCAGACCTCAATGAGAGGCGAAGAGATAGATACATCTGTGGGACCTGCCCAGCACAGGGCTAGCTGTGAATGTATAGGGACACAGTTAATGACAGCTGTTACAAAAACCTGCCTGCTCCTCGAGTCTCGTGTTTTAGAAGAACAATCTCTATTGGCCCATGTCGACACAAACTCTTTACTTCCTGAACATTAGGCTGGATAAGCCAAGCATGCACCCCTTTATGTTCACCTCAGAATGTGAAGAGCCAGGAGCCAGGTCTCCATGTGTATCATTAGGTCCTAGTGTTTCAGAGGAGAAGCAGTCTCAGGGAACACACCAGACCCCAGTATTTGAGGACAATAAAGAAATCCACTGTGTGAGTTGAAACCTGTCTGTACAATCAGCCAGTTAAGAACAAACAAGATCTCTTTATTCCCAGCTGGAGGACCAAAGTGCCCTTTGAAGTAACTTAATGTCTACGGTACCTGAGCCTCCTTACAACTCAGAAAGAGACACAGGTTGAATGCTTATTCCCATTGACTCAACCCTACACCGCTGAAGACACATCTTCTGAGTGACTGCTCAAATGACTGACACGCCTGGGCCAGCTACCACTTTTGAAAAACATCTCCTCTCTCATACAAATGGTCTTCAAAAAGTGTCTCTACAAATAGGGGCCAGCTGAAGCTCCAGGAAGAGGAACAGGCGCAAAGTGACAGCTGCCAACTCCAAGGGGTGTCTTTATCTGGGACATTTTAAGAGATCCAAGCTAGCACAGTGGCCATAAAGAGCCCCAGCCCGGGCTCCTCTCCTGTCCCCACAGCCAATCCCTCTCTTGCACTTCCTTTGTCTCACTCTTCCTCTTAACTTGAGAGCCTGCAACTTAAGGATCATTTTCTGTCCGACACCAGCATGTCTGTCTGCCCCTTTTAAAAGAAGGCAAGCCCTTTGTCTATCCTACCCCCAGGGTATCCCTAGGATCAACTATAGGGTGTATTCAGTAAGCCAGTATAAAAAAGTTTTATGTAAAGCCTCACTGTCCATTAAGGCAGTGCCTGGATTAGCTATGGACACATGACACACAGCATGTGGAGGGGCCTAGGCAAGCCCCAGGTATGACAAGTAGTACACTAGTCCTTGTCTGTATCAGTGTGGATCTTCTCTGACGTAGCAGCATGGGGCCAGATGTAGAGCTTTGAACTGGAGAAGAATATTCACCACCACCACCACCACCACCACCACTATCACCATCACCACCATCACTACCATCACCACCCCACCTCTATCATTCTGAGACTCCAGCCCACGCTTCCATATCTAGGGTTAAGAACTATGTCAAAATTACAAGGCCCGTGAACAACTGGCTAGAGCTGGGTGGAGGCTTTCCTCTATGTTGTTCACCTGCTAAAGGCGTCTCCCTCCTCTTCCCAGCACGCACACACCACTAATCTCCAGCTTGCTCTTTCCAGGTTCAAAGCTCCCCAGCTTCCAGGGCCCAACTTGATAATTTGAGATTATTCCTTAGTTCCTTCTCAAGGCACTGAGTAAGCAAAGTCTACTTGGCTCTGGCCCCAACCTTTCCCTCAAGTGTAGCTTCTTCCTGATGCAAGGATCAATCTCTTGGGAATGTGGAAAGCAAGGCCCCTCTTCAGACACCAGGAAGAAAGGATGATGAAGGACAATGGCAGGTAACAACACTGAATCTTTGGCTAGGACAGTAGTCCAGGTCCCACATACATCAAAAAGCAACCATGATCAACCACTCTCCTCAGTGCTGTTTTTCCTTCAGGAGACCTTGAGATAACTACCTGGGGGAGCAAGATCTTGGGAGGAAGCCCGGACCCAGAGCTTCACTTCCTGCTCACCTCTGCTCTAGTGGAGAAACAACAATAGCAAGCCACTTCCCCTCCAAACTCCATCTCTTGAAATGGCAAGAAAAGAAAAATTATTTTCTTTAGTTTGTGGGGGAAGCAAACTTGTTGGTCAAACCCAACCCAATTATAAGGCATTTTTCTTCCCAGGCTACTTTGAACAAAACCACGTGTGCGTTCGTGGATCAGTCAACAGATCAGTCAACTTTGCAAAACCAGTAAATGTCATATTCTGCAGAAGGGGGTCTTGATTTTGCAATGAGACAGCTAACAGGAAAAATCAGTTGGAGAACAAGGGAGTTCCAAGAGAAACTTCAGGAAAGCCTCCAGGCCTCCGTGTCCTCCGTCACAAGTGGAGTAGAGGTGAGTAGAGATGCTCACAGATGAACTTTTGGGGTCATCACCCTAACCCAGGAAGTGAGCCACACCACCCAGTCAGGAATTGCAAAGGTGGATGCTCTGAAGACCTAGTCCACACTAACAGAGGCACCCCACTGGCCTGAAGTAGCAGTTGATAGAAGAGTAAGTAAGCTCAGAGTCGCTGGCCACAGGCTCTGTCACAAGGCTTTCCCTGAACTTAATTCTTGAAAACTCCATGCCATTAACTTACTCAACACAGACAAGAGACGCAGCGAGAGTCCAGCAGATTAGGAGACTTAGGATAAGGTGCCCCTTCCCACTCCCAGCAGCTGGTTCCAACCCCAACAAAGTAAGCTTACTAGAGGTGCCCATGTCCAGCCACCAGTAGCCTGGCAGTAAGCAACCCAGCCCTAGCACTGGGCTGCTCGCTCTAGCGGCTCCAGCAGTTTCGTCTGCCCTGGGGCTCAAGACAGGCAACGTGGACACTCGACCACGGTGGGGCAGTCAAACGAGGGTGTGCGGGACTTCTGAGTCCTAAACGTGGACACAAATGAGCCCAAGCCGGCCAATCGATTCGCCAGAAGGAGAAAGAAGGCGCTTTCCCAGCTCTCCATTCATTCCCTACACAGCCTTGCTCCCCTAGCCCTGGCGCCATCCAGGATCCCCGGGCTCCTCCCGGGCAAGTGCGCCAAGACCCGCTACCAGACACAACGCCCGCTTCCACTCCATCGGAGCACACAGCCCCACCGACTAGTACACTATCGCCATCCCCAGCGTCGTCCCCCGAGTCCGGGCCGCTGCCTTCTCGGCTCCCCGCCGCCACTGCCACCCCCACGGCTGAGCTCAAAGCAGCCTCGTTCTGCTCTCTGCTCCCTAGCCGGCGGAAGACTCTGCTGTGACTCCTTAGTCAGACTGCTTCGGGGACTAGGTTACAGGGACGAAGGAAAAAGCGGCGAGTTAAAAAAAAAAAGTTGAGACTGCTCCCTCGGTTCCTCCCAGGCCTATCCCCACAGTCCCTCCTCGGGAATCAAGGTCCCACAGACGCTGTCGCCTGGGGCTGTTCCCCGAGACCCACATGTGCCTTTCCACCCAGAGCGGCAGTGCGGCTAGAGCCCTGGTTCCCGAGGCGGCTCCCGAGGCGGCTCCGATTGGTACCCAGAGACAGTGGCAGATGCCCACGTACCTGCCCCAGGCTACGCGTGGAAACTTCCCCCAAAGTGTGCGGGGGAGGGGTAGTGAGCACGACTAGGGGAATCCCGGTCCCCAGTTCTGCCCGTGGAGAGCTCTCTCCAGAAAATCGCCAATCTACCTACCCATTGGCCTTACATTCAGTCGTCCTTCCCCCTCAGTTCCTGGCCGACCCAGGGTCGCGCGAATTCTGACTCCTTGGGGTGGTTCTGCGGGACAGCCAGCCGGTGCGTGCCCCGCGGCGTGCGTCTTCCGCCGGCCTCCAGCTATCCACAGCGCCACCACGCCAGTACCCGGTCCTCTGTCTCGGAGCTCGGACCACATTCGCTCTGTCTAGGGAGGGGGCGTGTGAGCCCCGGAGCCGCCACCGGCAGTCCTTCCCGCAAGGTCCCCAAGCGTGCTGGACACCTAGAGCACGGCCAGGACCGCGCAGCGAAAGGGACGCCTCCTACAGGGGATCGTGCCTGGAGCTTGGAGGCCTGACCGAGGGGTGCGGGCCCAAACCTGCTGGAGCTCGGCGCGCTCCAAGTTCATTGTCTGCCTGGGCCGCCGCCACCTCCGCGTCGGGAGCCTCCGCACAGGGAGTGAGGCTGAACACAGCCCCTGCCGCCCGGACACCCAGCGCCCAGTCCCGGCCAACCTGAGCGGAACCCGCACAGGGGCACCGGAACCTAGAGCCAAGCCTCCGCCCGCCGCTTCTCGCCGCCCCCAGCCCAGTCACCCAGCGCCCAACTTGTACCTGAAAAGCCCAAGACGAGCTCGGAAGCCTCTGCAGCTCCGACTCCGCGGGAGCGCGCGCCCAGCCCCGCGCTTAGCACCCCGCATCCAGGGCGCGTCAACCTGACTCCCCGAGCGCTGGGAGGAAAAGTTTGGGAGTGACTTGCAGATGGCGAATGAAACCTCTGAACAGAACCCTCCCCCCGCCCCATGTCGCGCTGACACACATCAGCTCGAGCCTGGAATGCAAGATCAAGGCGTGCGCGCCCTGCTGAGCGGTGGGTTTGGTTCCCGCCCCCTCGCCCAGCAAGTAAATACAGTTTGTGTATTGCGGTGACTTCAACAAGACAAAACCGAAACCTGGTATGTGTGGCAGTGTCCCGGCTATCAGAGACAGTTTTAAGGAACTTGGCAGTCTAGAGACAGCCCATACATTGATATTCAAGGCCACTGACGCTGTTGGTTTCGGCGCCCTCTGTTGTATTTTTGCAACCTACGAAAGGCTGGCTAGCTCTTGGGCCCTGTAGGTTTGCTTCTTCTGGGAGGTAAGGTTCTACAGGACCCTAAGTGTCTGCCGCAGTGGCCCATGGGGGCTGCTCCAAGGAAAGGCTCCAATGATCGACTCATTGGCTGCGGGCTGAAGATGAAATCAGTTAAAGAAAGACACCTTAAACTCTTGATTTGTTCGGGACAGCCTTTGGAGCACCAAACCCATACTCTGGGGAACAGGATAGAAGCCACAGTCTTTGGCCTGCCCAGTTCCCATGGCCAGAGTCCAGCACCTTCTTTCTTGAAGTAACCAGGAAAATGCTCCCTAACTGTAAAATGCTGGCGTATGTGCTAAAGGTGATTCTAGACAAAAGGAGTCCCTTTCTCTCTTGCCTGAGGTTCCTACCTCACCCCCCCGCCCCCAGAAGCTATTACCACCCTGAAGTCCTAAAGTTCTGGTTCAACATCCACAGCGACTGAATCAGAGGTCACAATCAGAGGATTATGGCTGCAGATGGGAACCCTGGATGACAGGGGAGTTCTTCAAAACCACTGTCTTGTTTCCCAACAAATACTGCCTCTTACATAAAAATCTGCAAAGAAAGATTAATGAAGCAGTGAGTCTGCCCTCCCAGTCAGTAGACTGGATTGCTTTTCCCCCATGTAGACTCAGCTTAGTAATTTGGAGGTCTTTATTATTTTTTTTAAACAAAAACCTTTTTTTCTAAAAATACAATGAGCTGGTTTTTGCAGAGTTCACAATTCCCAATAGATAATGATGCCATTTTTCATGGTCTTACACACGTTGTGGCTTTGGGGTTTATTTATTAGCTCCGGAGAAAAGACTGCCTTTCAGTAAGGTTTATATATTCAAGTAATTGCACTGGGACACAGTGCAGGTTGCTGTTTAAGAGGGTGGGTTGTGCAGGCGCCTGCAAGCAAAGTCCTGGGCCAGGCAGCTGTCAGACCAGGGCATGCAGCCGGTTTATGCAAACACAGGGAAGGTTCTTTGGAAACAGCAAGAAGGAAATCCCTTCCTGTAAGAGTGTGTGGAACATGATCCCTGGGCCACACGTATGGGGACTTTCCAATACATGCCCCATTATGGAGATGGTGCTGGGCCCACCCAGATGACTTTCAAATTCAGGTGTCAGAAATCACAGCTGACGTGGGAACAAATTGTTTTTAAGTAAAATCCCAGGGCCACTTTGATATGAGTTCCACTGGGACTTTCCAAGGTATTATACATGTTCCTGAGATTACCTGGAGAAGAATTTTTATTTTCCTCCCTCAACTTCAAAAAATTAGCCTGTTATTCCATAAAGCTCTGACAACACCCAGTTGCCTTGTGTGAATGAAGACCAGGAAAGACAGATGCATAGGTCTGTGAGAATAGCTTGTGCTCAGGCCTTCAGCAATTCCTGTGTAGGAAGCATATGTAGAGCCAAGCAATGGGGTCTGCGCCTTTAATTCCAGCACTGGGGAGGCAGAGGCAGATGGATCTCTGTGAGTGCAGCCTGATCTAGAGATGGAGTTCCAGGATAGCCAAGACTACACAGAGAAACCCTGTCTTAGGAAGGGGCGGAGGTGAAACAAAAGAAGCAAAAAACAAACAAACCTGAAACAGAGAGAAACAAATGCAGAAAGTGTAAGACAATAAGCAGACCATGTCCTCCACATTGTCTAGGTTCTAATTCTTCTTCTACCACCTACTGAGCACTGCTGAGTAACTCACTCTTTCCTTCCGAGCTACTAGTGGTACATTGAGTTATTGATCCCAGCTCTTCAATCTTCCACAGTGGTTACCCAAGTACATTTTGTGTCACAATAACAAAATACCTGAAGCTGGGTAGTACCATAAAGAAAAGAGGTTTACTTACTTACTTCATGCTCCTGGAGGCTCAAGAGCCAGAATCTATCTAGCAGACTCGCAAGGTGGTCCATTACATAGCCGGGATCACATGTCTGTCTGTTTGTCTGTCTGTCCCCCTCTCTCCTCCCCCCGCATGTGTGTGTGTGTGTGTGTGTGTGTATTCTGGTCTCTCTCTCTCTTTTCTTATAAAGCCACAGGTATCTAATCACAGTACTTCCTACTCTAATGACCCTTTTTGATTCTGATTACAGAGCCTCACCTAAAAACATTATAGTTGAGTGAAATTTCTAGTCTTTAATGTCACAATGAGAATTACATTTCACCATATGCACGCTCAGCAGACACACTTCCAAATGCCAACAGTGACATATATCTCCCCTGCCACCACCTCATGGTATACAGGCTACATCCCTCCATGACTTGACTTTTGACTTGGTTTGGGGTTGTTTGTTTGTTTGTTTGTTTGTTTTTGACAATGAGATATTGAAGAACAACTGGGTCAGAGGCTGGAAACACTCTTCCAAGGTCCGGCTTGCTTTGTTGTATTCTAGTGGCCCACCTTCTAAAGAGCTTGTCTTAAATGGGAGCTTTCTCTTCCAGCAAGGCTCCAGAATGAACACCCATGAAGCAGACCTGAGTTCAGCTTGCACCCTGGAGGCAAGTTATCCCAGCTCCAGCTGACTCACACACACAGGAATGAGGTAGGGGGAGTGCTGACTTGTTGTAAGCTGTTTTGTTGCACAGCACTGTTGTGGTGGTAGCTGACTGCTCTGTCACAGCAATGGGTTTGTGACAAATATTTGAAACACACTAAACATGGGGGTGGGAGAGATAGCTCAGCAGTTAGGACTGCTGGCTGTTCTTACAGAGGACTTGGATTTGGTTCTCAGCACCCACACAATGGCTCACAGCTATCTGTAATGACAATATCAGGGCATCCAATGTCCTTTTCTGGCAGGCATTCATTCACACTGTGTACAGACATAACACAAAGGCAAAACATCCATATCCATAAAAAAATAAAAATAAATCTTTATAAAAATGATAAGTGCAATTATCAGGCTATAGGGATCAACATATTAGCTATTATTAATAAGTATCGTTATTGAGAGCTTTGCATATAGTTTGCACATAGCTGATAATGAATTAAATGTGTGACAATTCTAACTCGAATGGAGACTTTATAAGGGGCAGCACAAAGACCTCAGAGTATTGTAACAAGAGCCCCCACCACAGCCCTTACAGTCACACTCATTTCATCTGTAAACATTCCCTGAGCACCAACTATGTGTCTGCCACACACTAGGATGAAGAGGGAGTCGTTGAGATAATGAAGGTCCACTCTCTCCCTAAAGGAACAAAGGCCACATGAGACAAGAGACTTTCTCATTCTGTGTCCTTAATCCTTTCCAACCATCAATGCTGCTCATGCCCATCCTTCAGGCTGAAAGACTGAGGCTCAGAAATCAAGCATGCAGAAGCAGACTTAAAGTCATTCCTGTACCATAAATGTATACTGATGTCAATGATATCAAGCAATGTGGGGCAAACCCATTAGAACTGGGTTCCTGTCACCTTTGGTCCCTCACTCATGCCAGAGCTTAGTAAACATGAGGCCTACAAGGCACGGACCCCGCTTCTGCCGTGAAAAGGGCTTGTCCCAGGGGCCCTTAGATGCCGTTGCCGGGGCTCTTGAATTTGGCAGCCCTGGCTTCAGATTTCTGCAGCGACCTGCCTCCCACCCCGTGACTTTGACAAATTTAGACTTCTCAGTAACCCGAAGTGCATTTCAATTTTATAAATTTAGAAATCCTCTGGTTGGGCGGATCCCTCCCGCAGGAATGCATCCATTAAGCGCACTTTAAACCAATTTTGGTATGCTAATCCATCACAAATCGACGTGAAATTTGGGTTCTTGTGAAAATTTCCTACACTGGATCCAAGCCTTCGACAGGATCTAAGATAGTAAGAGATTCCCTAAAGCGGCAGACTTGGCTTGGCATTGAACATTCAGGGGAGAAAGGCCGGAGGAGCTAGTTTTCAGCAAACATTCACACTCACATGAAAAAGCTCTGTGGAGGGAGGAGGGCAGTTTACTGATTCCAAAACAATGCTGCCAGATCACTGAGATTTCAGACTCTTCTAGTCTTGCCTTTTACTGTATTCCCAGCCCAGAGCTCAGAATCTGTTGCCACAGACACACCTACTAGGTGCTTGGCAAATGGCTCTATTAGAGTCACCTGCTTGACTCCTCTGTCATCCTTTGCCTCCTGGGTTCATCATTGCTTTCTAAAAATCAGATTCTCTCCCCACCAGTGGAACTCAGGGATGCTACAAGCACAAACAGAGCCCCCAGGAAAACCCAGTGACCATGAGAGCATGGTCCCAGAAGCCAGGAGGGCACGTGCCAGGTAATTGGCAGCATAAAGAAACCAGGGGTGATAAAAGAGACATAATGTCACTGTTATCACCACCCAGGACTTTAGTTGCTACTGGTTGTTGAAGGGCAGTGCCTATTAACTAGATGTTTTTAGCTGCATAATAGACAGTTTGCCAATAAGATCAAGATTACAACCGGGAGCATCTCACTTACTAGCTTCTGCCATAAGATCTACAACCCACACCCAACAAGAAGAACAAGCTGTTGACGTGGTAAATCGCAAGCATCATCGCTTGCCCTAAAAGTGAAATATCTGCACCCTCTAAATAGATTTGTTTTTCCTGGATGCGGGCTTAA